AAAGTTCATTTTGTCAAGGGTTGCATCATGCTTTCTTATCTTTGACAAAGGTTTTTTTTTTTTTCTTTCCATTTCCTTTGTTAATATTCGTTAATTACCTTTTTGTCAATGGTATTAAACATGTATTGTTTTAATTACAAGAGAGAGATTGACATTATTAATCTTCTCTTTCCCTATTTCTCCCTTAATAACATGATTTGGATATTTGTGTGTTAAAACATCATTATTAATAATTTTTTATGTAAAGCCTTTGACTTATTTTTTTTTTTTTCTTCAGGATTCTGTTTGACCTTTTACCTCTTCTGTATAAAAATATTATCATGAGGGATAGAAAGAGCTAACCATGATCATTTTGCATGACATGTTTTTGCAACAGTAAATACTCTCTTAAAAATTAAGATGACATTTCTTTGTCATTCAAAATTATTATTTTATAAGAGAAAATTGTTTGATTTGACCATGGAAAACGTTTGAAAGTTATGAAAATGGAGAATAAATGAAAATAAGTTTCTTGTCTTTTGTTTTATTCATTTTTTTTTTTAAATTTTCTAATGTGTGTGAGTGAGAATGTTTATGTATGTTTGCTAATTTAATTTTTCATTAATAAATTATTAACTATAAATCTATTTAATGATAGCTCTTGACTTAATTGTTATTATTATTAAATTATTAACTTGGACACATTAAAAAACACATTTCCAGGTTTTTTTATTTATTTATATAATATATTAATTAGCTTTGACAATGTACAGTCTGTAATAATAATCTACATTGATTTGATTCAACAGTTATGTATTAGTTATTTATAATTAGTTAATCAAGATACATAACATTTTGTTTAAAAAAGATACAGAATTTAAATTTATAACCTTTTTTTTTCTATAAATTCAAACATAAAATAATAATAATAATAATCAATTTTTACATCATTTTAAATGGGTACTGGATAATTTGGGTTTGATTTAATTGCATTTGTTTAATACTTTGTCAATTAAAACGTTTTTAAAATGTATATTTTATTAATAACGGATTAAAATACAAACCGATAAATTATTATTATTATTATGGTTTTATGGTAATATTCCCCCCCAAAAAAAAATGGACCGTTTAATAGAATTATATATGTATATATATATATATTTAATGATGAATGACGTTGTTTATTATTGTGACGTAATAGTACATAAAAAACCTTAAGGCCATATATTTATCACTTATTGTAGTATAAGCTGGAACAAAATAATAATAATAATAATAATAATTTTATTAACTTAAACTGTTGGCTTGAAACAATGTGCGAATAAAAAAAAAATAATTGTTACTGATACATAAAATATCAAACAGGAAAAACTGGATTATTTGACAGTAAAAATATTATTATTATGTGGGCTCCTACTACTACTACTACTACTACTACCTACTACCTAGTACCTACTACTTACTACTACTACTAGCATAGCACAATGTTGTAGTCGTCGTCAACTTGATTATGGTAAACCCGATAATAAAATTTTATTATCGGTAGTTTTCTTTTTTTAATAGTATTAGAATATTTATAGAGAGAATTTTCTAGATTACGCTATATGGAAGGGAATTTTTTTTTGGGGGGGGGCGAGGGGGTAAATCCACGATTCGTTGTCGATTTATTTATTTATATTTGTTTTTCCCATATTTACAATAGCATATTGTACAAAAAAAAAAGTATTGTTTACATCATTCGGGAAAAATTTTTATTTGCAAAAATGCCGCCATTTTTTTATTTAATATCCGCCATATCTTATTTTATCAATACGGTGAAGAGGGTGGGGTGGGGGTTGTTGATTTTAATTAAATTTTTATTAATTATTTAATAATTGTTTATTTAAGTTTAGAACAAACAAAACAGGGTCGTATTGTACAAATTTTTATTTTTTTTTATTTTTACAAGGATCGTTTTTATCATCCTTTAAAAAAGTTTTATTTATTATTATTATTATTATTCGATCGATATTAGTTTGAAAATGACAATCACTTTTAAAAAGTAGGGGAGGGGGGGAAGTTGAAGGTTGCTTTGTAGTTTTTATAAAAATAATATTACTACTTATTTTAAAACTTACATAATAAACTCTCTTTAAAAAAAGAAACAATAATGATAATAATTTTGTACATAAAATAATGTTGTAATTTATTAAATTTATTTTAAATTACTTTGAAGGAGACTAAACATTTCATAAAATTTTTTTTTCATAAATGACATATAAATGTTTAATTTCAAGGTAATATATTTTACCGTTTCGTAACACTTATGATAACCGATTACTCATCAAATAAATTTTCTTAGAATGTTATTCTATAGTATTTACAAGTCATTGGGATACCCTTCGACCATAGCACAATTATAGAGTCTGATGTGTCACCCAAACAGGCATATCGAAATTGATGAAAAAGTGGTCGAAGATTAGTCATCATAGGTACGGTTGGTTGTCTTAGTTAAGGTATCTATATATTTAATTCCCAGAATTTTTTAACCTTTTCTCCACAAAATTTTACGGATAATTTTGTATATTAATATGACTCACTATCTCGTAGTCTCGCTGGAATTTCGGATCGCATTCCAAAAAAAAAAAAAAAAAAAATTTCAATGGAAATGGTAACAAAATGACAATCGATTATTTAATATATTATTATTATTGTTATTATTATTACGTACATATCGATAAAGGAAATTTTTCCCGCCTAAGTTTATAAGATAATAATATCATTTTTAAATTTAAATGAGTGATGGGGGGGGGGAAACGAGATTTCGTTTAAATGACCCAACGATGACCGTTTTATCCAGCATTACCTGACTTTAACATTGATAAGGTTTTACTGATAAAAAACGTGATTGACGAGACTTTTATCTATTTTATTTATATTCAATAATCCAGTTTTCGAAACCATAGAGTATTTAAATCTTTTTTAACCTTTGACCCATGCATATTTTTATTTACGATTAAATGAAATAATAAAATACTATAATTAAACGCCATTTTACCTTAGGTAATGTTGTATCAATCAGGAATTTATACGTATTAATTATTCGAATTAAGTTACTACTACTATTATTATTATTATTATTATTATTATTATTATTATTATTATTATTTTATTTCTATTACGTAATTTGTTTATTTTTAATTAAAATAAATAATCTTTGGTCAATTAAATTTGCAAAAAAAAATTTTTTTTAGTTGCAATCACATTTGAAATTTAGTTATAAATTTTTATTGTTTATTATTATTATTATTATTATTATTATTATTATTATTTAATT